AAGTGCCAAGGCTTCACCGCTAACACGAAGGGAGTTATGGGTTGTGTGGCTTTTGCCTTTTAAGGCTTCTTATCAGTTTTTACAGATTGTTATCACATCCATTCACCCACCATCAGTGTTTCCATCCTGCTATCTATCTCTCTTTCAAATTTGAATGCTTTAGCTACAGTGGGACGGGAGTTATGAACTTCCGGTCGGACAAACACACACACATACTCACACACTCACACACACACACAAACACACCAACAGACACACTTAGCCGATTATATAAGTAGGATTAGGTAGAGAAACTTGAGTTGCGCAGAATTTTGCCCACCTTGAAATGGGCATAATTCTGCGCAACTTCTGCAAAGGAACCGCAAAGTGTTTCTTATAGAGCGTTGTCTCTTTGTCTTTCTTTACTTTATAGGACAGCCCATTTGTAGGCATTTCTGTGAAGTAGCTATTAACCATATGATGTTGCAACGTATCATGAACAAAAAGACAACAGTTGATAACATGGAGGAAAACATCTCCGCCGCGGGGGACATTTTAGCACGAGAAGGAGGGGAGCCCGGCAGACGCCGGGCTCCCCTCCTTCTCGTGCTAAAATGTCCCCCGTGGCTGCACCTTTTTCAGATTTGGAGTCTACAAAACACAAACACCCAACACAACTCGTGCGCGCCCCCTCCGCCATGAACAAAACCTCCTCAGACTCAGTGTGTTTGTGTAACTCAATTTATTTGTGACTGATCCAACCTTGGTTTCGGAATTTTGCTTCAAGTCTACATCACAATTTTTCTTGCTCGCCTCCTGCGAGAGGAGTTTCCAAATTTAAGTTACTCACATAAACCCCGCCCCTGTGGGCGGAATCGGTTACCATCCACCATGAACTTTCCCATTCTGCCGCCTGTAGTCCTATTTATTTTGAACGCTCTAGGTCTTAGGAGCAAGATTTATGAGTTTTTGCCCAAACCTCGCCCACTGTCGGCGGAATCAGGCCCCGCCAACCACCGTAAATGTTTTAATCCTGCCACCTGCACACCCATCAAATTCGGGTGCTTTAGGTTCAAGTTTGAGTTTTCCACACAAACCCCGCCCCTTGTGGGTGAATTCCGGTTCTGCCACTCACCATAAGTGTTCTAATCCTGCCGCCTGTACTCCTACCAAATTTCAATGCTCCAGGTCCAGTTTAAGGTTTTCACACAATTCCCGCCACTTGTGGGCAGAGTCCGGTCCTGCCACCCACCATAAAGGTTCCCATCCTGCCGCCTGTACTGCCCCCTATGTTGAACGTTCTAGGTCTATAGGAACAGGATTTATAAGTTCTCGCTCAAACCCGGCCCCCTGTGGAGGGAGTCTTGTCCTGCCGGAAATTATAATGTTCTCATCCTATCTGGTGTACTCTTACCAAATTTGGACGCTCTAGGTCCACGGAGACAGAATTCATGACTTTTCGCTCAAACATTTATTTTGCACAAACCCCGCCCCCTGTGGGGGAGTCTTGTCCCCACATTTCATAATGCTCCATCGCGACTGCTTTATTGAGCACATTGGCCATGGTTTCGACCTATTGTTTTTGTGATAAATGTTTTTCTCTCTCAAAAACTTCGTGTATTTTCAGCATCGCCTTCTCTTCTGCAGTACGTAAGATGGTGGGAGCCGCCGCAGAAAATGCTGCAAAAAATATGGCAAAAGCTGTGGTAATTGAGAATCATTTATGATAAAGGTTGAGCAATAGACCTCTGTCTGCTTCAAATGACATCACACACTGACTGCACCATTCATTCTGATTCCAGATTGAAAGTTAGAAGGAAGCTCACAAAAGCAGACTACATTTTTGAGTCCATCTAGTACTTCTGCATTCTCTTTCCTATTCGGTTCGGTGTCCATTCGATAATTTGATACAGTGTTGACGGCCAGGTCGCTATTTTCGCGAAAGGTCTGCCAAGCTGTGCACTCCGAAAGTGATGAAAAAGACACAAAAACAGTTCCGTGAGACCTTGGAGGACTCAGAACTATACACACTTTTTCCGAGACATTTCAGTACAGGCAGTACACTATAATGCTGGTACGGAACTATATCCTGGATAGCATTATAACGATTATTAGATGATTAAACATGAAAAAACATTGTGTGGGTAGACCTCAAAAATGCGCTTCAGTGCAGTCCGTCAAAACTCGGAGTTTGTATTACCATTTCGTGTAGGCGGATTGATGTCAGGCTCTTCTGTAATTCGAAGGAACGCATTTGATATCGAAATCGTGAATAGGCTGCTTTTATAGTCCGCCGGCGTGCCGGCGTGCCAGTCGAGGTAGTGCTAGGGGGAGGAGGCAGGCAGAAAGTCGGTCGACGCGATCGCGTCGCGCTCAAGCCCTTTCGAAGAGCTGAAAACAAAGAAAAACAAGATTAAAAACCACACATCCAGAGGTTGGTGCAAATGGTTTCTGGTCTTGTTTTTCTTTGTTTTCTGCCCTTCAATGAGGCTTGGGCGCGACGCGACCGCGTCGGCCGACCGTCTGCTCCCTCCTCCCCCCCCCCTAGCACTACCTCGGCTGGCGGCACGCCGGCGGACTATAAAAGCAGCCGTACAGTATCACGTCTTTTTCGTCTTTCCTCCATAAATC